CTACTGCTGTTGATACTGCCTCTTAGCATAGTTGTGACGATGATGATGATGGTATCATAATATATGCAAGAGGTTGGGTGAGGACAAGGATTGGTGATGGTGCTTAGCATGGAGATACTGATGATGATGATGTCATGAAGACGATGATGATGGTGGTGATGATAATCATGTCAGGAGGATACGATGGTGACATTTTGACACTGATGATGACAATTAGATGATGTTAATACTACTGATAGTGAAAGCTATAGCAAAAAAGTCTTCACACTATCACAGCATATGAAAGAGAGAATTTCTTATAGATAGCAATGTTCTCATCTACCTCTACGAGTATCCAACGAACTTCTTCCCACTCACAAAATCATTCTTAAAAGCGTTGATGGCATCGATGGTGAAATTGGCAGCAGCAACGACTCTCTTTGGATCACCACAGTTCAGACTTTCGGCCTTCAGCATGTGGGAGGTGTGGCCGGAAATGGGCGTGGCGAGTGTAGCCAAGAGGCCAAGGAATAGGAGAACCTCGAGTTGAAATTGACCTGCTGGAGATTAATACGTAGTGGATTACATAGTATCATTGTTATTATCAGTGATAGTCATGATGGCGATGTTAACTAATGTGGATATGGACATCACATGCGCGCTCACACACACACTCACACACACACGCACGCACGCACGCACGCATGCACGCACACACGCACACACACACACACACACACACACACACACACACACACACATACACACACGTATGTACGTATATGTTTGCATTCACTTTTAAGTATCATATATATTTTTAAAGTGTTATACGTATATACTTTTAAGTGCCTTTGGACAATAAACCAAAGGAGAAAGCCTCACTTACCCATGATCTTAGCCTTTTAAGTCAGCTGTTAGCGCAATAATGAGATGAAACTTGGTAGGACTTTATAATCTTAAACCAGATTTCACACACGGTTACCTCGACACTGAGAGCAAATCTGAAGCTGTATCCGTTCGCAAGTCTCCCTATATCGTTGACATTTATCTCCCGTGATCAACTCCCATCGCTATCTACCGCAGATGTTTGCGATCGGCGGTTGTAGTGTGGTGGGCATTGGGTTTTGCAGCATCGTCTCTCTTACTTGCAAGTTGCAAAGTCTGCAAGAGCGTGTGTGCGCTAGGAGATATATGCGCACGTTTGTGCATGTAACAGTTATTCTCTCACGGGTATAAATCATATTTTGCACATTTTTAAGTTTTAGTTTTTAAGTTTTAAGTTCACTTTAAATGCAAATATTTAAATCATAACAATAACAAGACTAATTATAGCAGTAGTGCACACACACACACACACACACACACACACACACACACACACACACACACACACACACACACACACACACACACACACACACATATACATATTGTAAAAGGCTTTGGGTGCCTCAATACCATGGACTAGTCGATACTTAAAGTGGTATGTAATGGGCTGACTCTTTATTGTTGAAGAGTACACACAATAAATGAGGACACAATACGATGAACTAGGGCAGTACTGAACTGTGGCACATCCGGCCAGATCAGGGAGGGGGCCATATTTAATTCAACATTTAATGATATGCAATGGAATGCACATATTAGTGAACGATGACATAAAAAAAATATTAGCAAGCAAGGCAAATCTTCCCGGCTCAGAAAATACGCTGCAATCCACGATTCCACTTAATCTTAATTTCGGATTCGCTTCAAAATTCTGATATGCAGAAGTAACCATATCTAACTTAAGCATGTTATTCTACGTTAGACTTCATCGATGGGAGTCCCTATACCCAAATTACTGAACGAAAAGGGAATGATATGAAGGGAACTGAAAAAACGAGACAGGAGAAATACATAATTAACCCAGTGTACTCTGCGAATCTATAATAACCGCTGGTGGCAGTGCCCTTGCAGGTATCTATCAAGAAATCACACGATCGCCTAGGATTTTACCCAGAACATATAAACCACTTCCTTGAGGGTGAGAAAGGCGTGATTAATAAGCCAATAATGATTCTAGTTTAAAACTCTACACCTACACTTAAGAGCAGACATCAATATGGGCTCACACCAACTCGATCAAAGGATACCGTATCTTGTCGCAGCAAAGCGGCCTGAGGTCAGAGTATGAGAGTGAGAACGCTGCAATTTTCCTGTCAACAAAGTTCCTGCATTTAGCACTTTTTTACCCAGTAAAACCATCGTGAGAGTGACTGCACATATAATTTATACGGCTTGATACGTATATGGGAGAAGTTAGGGAAGAGAAATGATATATATTATCTCTCTCTCTCTCTCTCTCTCTCTCTATATATATATATATATATATGTGTGTGTGTGTGTGTGTGTGTGTGTGTGTGTGTGTGTGTGTGTGTGTGTGTGTGTGTGTGTGTGTGTGTGTGTGCTACAGTCAACACCGTGAATTTTAGCACCACACAATTACTATTATTGTAATTTTTTAACATTATCATCATTA